TCGCTGGTGGTTTTCAAGAAAAGATTGAACAGCCATTTGTCCAGATTGGAATACAGACTCCTGCTTTGACAAAGGGTTGGATTAAGATAACCTCCAAGGTCCTAGCCCCATGATTCTATTTGATTCGACTCCACTCGACTCGACTCTTATTCTCTAATAAGAATATGAAGTTTCTGGTCTTTTTCCTTCCAATTTAAGCTTTAGGTTTGTGTCTCCTTAATCCTTCTGTTTACACCACAGTAAAAAATTTGAAAAATGGAAGAATCAAATTTCCTCCAGATTGCAGGAGTCATTTCTTTCCAAAAAGGAAATGTTTCCAAAATGTTCCTAAAAATCAAACCCACAAAACAGACAAACACAAGATGATACTTTCCTGTATCATCTTAATCAGCAACTCCTCAAATGTGCTAGAAATGAGAAAAGTTGTATTGATAGGCACCTGTCAGGTGTGAACAACCAAACTCATACTTTTAGAATTCAAACAAGCTACTATATTGTTCTATGTCTATTCCACAGGAATGCCGCAGCTGGTAGCTTTTGCCTGGGAAAGACTCAAAGGCATTCAGGAGGGGTCAGACCTTGCTCTCTTGTGTTTACATAATGATTCAGGACTAATTTCCTGCTTGACCCCTTCTCCCAACTGGGATAGTTGCTCTCCATCAGTAACCCTCTGAATATTTCAATGTTGGAGAAGGCTATAGATAGCTATGTTATCATATCGTGTAATCAAAAAGCTATTATAGGAAGTTTTCCAATTGAATTTCTCTCCTGTATCCACATCAAATGTGGCAAATGTAAATTCAATGCAGTTCTATCCCTACAAATAAGGCTGTCTGTGTGCAGAATTATTACAGGAAAAACTGGCCATCAGAGCAGATAAATAAATTTCTGTGCCTATTGCCTTGTCTGAAAGGGAAGGTTGCTCTATGGGATTTTGTGCTCATCTCACGTGTGCAGCCTAAAATACTCCTAATCTGTTGGACTACAACTCCTATCCTACTCCAACCTCATTGGCATTATTATAATCTGAGAGACAGCACATTTTGGAATATTAACATTGACTGTTCAGAATATATGGAAATACGGTTCAATTTAGATTAATGTTATGGATAGTCATAAAGTCATGTGGCAACTTCTTGAACTCATAACTTTCTGCTTGAGCAGAATAATGTTACTGCCTTAAAATATTCAGTCCCCTCTCTGCCATTTTACCTCTTCCTTTCCTTTTTGTCTGATTTTCCCTTTAACGTTTCCCCTCATATCACCTCCCAGGAGTGGGAGACATCTGGCAAACAACCTGTCTCACCTACCCACCCCCAGCATTGTTTGAACTGAAATCCTACATTGGCTTTCCTGTCCTGTGTGAAGAACTGAGCTATAGATCACAAAAACTCATGCATATTTTTAATGAAATGTGTTAATTGGAAAATATACTATCACAGTGTTGGTGAGCCTTTTCATGCCGAAACAGGTGCATGCACACGTGCACAGGGGAGTGCTGGAAACTGGAAGAGCAGCTCCCCGGCATGCACGCATATGCGCACCGGAAACTGGAAGAGTAAACGGCGATGGCTGGCATGCTCAGAGAGATATCTGTGCATGCCACTTCCGGCACGCGTGCCATAGGCTCGCCATCCACTGCTATTATCCCTGATTTTTTTTTTTCAAAACCAAAAGAGCTGATCTACAATGTCTGCAATCAATGAAAGCATCTATAAATCCAAACTATAAAAAAATTAAACCTTAAAAAAAGTCTGTTGCCTTCCAAATTCACATCTAGAAAGCCCTAGAAATCTCAGCGTAGCCAATCCATGACCCTTAGTCTAAGGCAGCTGTGACTCTGTGTATTTGTGTGTGTGTGCCTGTTTGTGTGTACATGCACACACATAACATACACAATATATGAACAACACATGGATCAGATAAGGTTTATTTTTTTTTAAAAAAATGAATCTTTCTAGTTGTGTATAAACTTTTAAAGATTCCAAGACTATTTTTTCCAGCAGAATGCAAGCAAAATATACAAAACTGGGTCTGTTAATAAGATAAATATTTATGGCATGTTTTTACTTTTGGTCACATACTGGTCACATATGCTTACAGTTTTCAATTCAATTTTCAATTTAATTCAATTTATATGCCGCCCCTCTCCAAAGACTCAGGGAGGCTCACAATACATTTAAAATCCTAATAAAAAACATTTAAAAATTTACAACTCTGAAAACATATTAGGCATAAAATTCCTGTGATCTCTGTTGTGAACAATAAATATGAGTATTTACTTTGGCTTTTATTTATTTATTTTATTTATTTGTTCAACTTGTCTGCCGCCTTTCTCCGAAGATTCAAGGCTTTAAACTTCTGTGCCCCCAGTCCTGCATCATATAGTCAATGAGGATCTAGATGTTGAAGATAGTTTCTTAGTTTCTAGTAACAAATTGTTCCCACAAAGGACAGTCACTTACAGTTTATGGTTTGAGTCATACCATAAATTATCTGATATATTTGCAACAGGCATACAAAAATTCTAATTTCCGTAGCACCATTATGCTATTTAAGGCAAAGCTAAAATTGTTTCTAATTTCCTGTCATGTGTATTGAACAGGCTTATTCTGAAATTTACAGAATCTGGCCAGCACATCTGTCATCTAATACTAATTTAGAAGGGATAAAAGCTTTTAGTTTTGACCAACAGAAATGCAGTAACAAGGATATGATATTTGGCCACACTTTTAAAATGCCTGCTTGCCCATTTGTAACATTATTCCTTCTTCAATCCTAACTACAAGGATTCTTTTATTCTACATTTTTGATATTATAAGTAAACACATGTTCAAGCTAGAATAATCACAAGGTTTAGTTTTGCTGAACACCAGGACTGTAGAGGTAGATGGATAAAGAAGTTATATTGAATTAGCAGCCAACTGATCCCTAAGACTAATGTAGGTGTAAGGTAATGTAAGTGCTGAAATACAGCACTTACATCTATATAAATAAAAATGTAAATGTCCGTTTGTACATAACCGCACATCTCCAAAAATTCTTCACCGATTGCTTTCAAATTTTGACACAACATTGCATTTGATTACGGGCGTGTTTTTATATACCTATATTATATACATGTCACACCTGTGACAGGTAAAAACATGAAAAACATTGGAAAACATTGAAAGACATTGACAAACATTGAAAAACATTGAAAAACGGCGCCATCTGCTGGACGTAAAACCAACATAGCCACCTCCCAGCCCTGATTACGCTCAACAGATTTCTGCTCCTTATATTTAGAGTCCATATTGCTTCCAAGAAACTGCACATTTGGAAGGCAGAGACGCCCGAGGGCCATATCCTGCCACCAGGCTCGGCAGGTAGGCAGCCAGCTCCCTGCCGGGAAGCCCTTGCAGTTGGAGCTTCTAGGGCTGGGCAGGGCCCGCCCGAGCCTGATCTGACCTCCCCCTCCCCCGGCCACCCCGCAAACTAGCCTTGTCCGCCGCTGTTCCCCATCCCCCTTGCCAGTTGCTCTCGGGGCTCCCTCCAAAGAACACCTGGCAATGAGGCTGCCTGGGTCCGCCAAGCGGGAACCCTCCATCCCTCGCCTGTCCCGAATCGCACCTGGTCCAGCCACTAACCGGCGCTATGCGGATCAGGTCGGTGAGTGGGAGATGGAGGCAACTGGAGCCTCAGGGTCGCCTTTGACCAGCACCGCCTTTGATTCCCAGGTGGGCACTCTGGCAGTTCACGGAGCCTACACAAAAATTTCAGCCTCTGGCAGAAAAGGGGCTTCAGGGGGCGGAAACTGGCAGGAGGGAGGATGGCCGGCCCTCCTTCGTTTCGCCTGGAAGAGCGGGGGATTTAATCATTCTACTGCCCTTGGCAGGCGGGGGAGGAGAACTGCGCAGCAGGGGTCCAGTGGGGTGTGCGTGGCTCCTGGCTTTGCCGCTTTCTTCCTTCGGGCGGGAAGTCCCAAACCAGCCTCGAACCCCCGCCACACACTGTTCCTCCCTCCCTTCCCTTCCCTTCCCTGCTATGCGTCTCCCCATCGAGCCCCCAGAGAACATCTGTGTAGGGAGGATGGAGGGGGCCCCTGAGTTTCTGCTGTGGTGCAGAGAGCTGCGGAGGCCTGGCCTGAAAAGGTAAGGGCGATGGCGGGGGATGCAGAAGAGACTGGGCCAGAGACAGAGATAAACAGAGAGAGAGGGAGAGAGAGACGTAGAGAAATTCAGAGAGATGGGGGGGAGAGAGAGACACATACAGAGATACAGAGAGAGAGGGTGGGAGAGAGAGAGAGACAGAGAGAGATACAGAGAGAGGGGAGGAGAGAGAGACATAGAGATACAGAGAGAGGAGGAGAGAGATACAGAGAGATACAGAGAGAGGGGGAGAGAGAGAGACATAGATACAGAGTGGGGGAGAGAGACACACATAGAGAGATACAGAGGGGGGAGAGAGAGAGAGACAGAGAGAGATACAGAGAGAGAGGGGAGAGAGAGAGACAGAGATATGGAGAGAGAGACACATAGAAAGATACAGAGGGGGGAGAGAGAGAGAGAGACATAGAGAGATACAGACGGGGGAGAGAGAGAGAGAGAGAGATGGGGGAGAGAGAGAGGGAGGATTTTGTGGTTCCCATTGTTTTTTAGCAACTGGTTCTCTGCCCTAATCACCAGCTGGGTAGGCGTGGCTTGAGGGCTGTCATGTGACTGATGAAAGTGAATGATGGCCACGCCCACCAAATGTTTGTGGCGAGTTTGGAACTTCAGCCTCGCTCTTTTAGCCCAGCGGAAGCACCAGACTGGGCCACAGCAACGTGTGGCCGGGTACAGCTAGTTACATATATATATGTATGCACATATATATGCATGAGTGCAAACGCATATAATATTGAAGAGAATTATACAATTCTTTATTCATGCGAGAGGTATACTATGGTTTGGATTCCATAACTTTGTTTATAGTACCATTTTGACTGTATGTATTTTAAAAAAAAAAGCTGCTCAGGATTCTCTCTCTGCCCTCCTACCATTCAAGAATTTATACTTTCCATATCCTCCTCTTGAGTAAATCAGATCCCATGTGCTGATGTCACTAGGTCCTTGGATCTTTTTGGTTTGTTTTTGGATCTCTATGTTGCTAAAACTCTTTTCTCTACCTGATCAGTATTGCAACCATCTGGAACCAGAGCTATATTCTCCCCTTTGGACTGTCCACCATTTTTGTATATTGCAGTATGATTCCCTCTGTCACTTCCAACACTGTCAGTGCTTTGGGCCAGAGACTGATCATTGTCAAGGCTTTCCTTTGCTTCCTGTAGATCTGCTTCTGCTTCTTCCGTTTCACTGTTACTTCTAACTATAGATGGATTCTCTAGCTGAGGGGTAGTTTCTTTTTTCACGTTCAGGCAGCAGTACGAAGCAACAGCAAGGAAGACAGCAGACAAGACAACTTCTGAGCCAGCCAGATAGAATATAATTTCATATTTCTTGAGTGCATCCACCAGTCGTCCTGCAATTTTGAAACAAAGCATAGCATAGCTGCATTGTAATCTCTTCCCACAGTTTCATATGGATGTCATATAAGGTGCTTAAATTTGCAGCTTGTAAGTTTGCAGTTTTATAAATGTAGAACTTCAATCAGACCTGCATTTAGTATGAATTCCAAACATGCATATAAACACATTTTCATACATCCCCCTTTTCATTCACAGGATTATTGAGGGCTCTACTAGAATCACTATGGAAGAAATAAAATCAGTATTTCTGTGACATGGAGATTTATTTGTTTATTTGTATCCTGACTTGATTATTTTTACAAATAATTCAAGGCAGTGAACATATCTAACATACCTTCCTCCTCCTATTTTCTCTACAAGAACTCTGTGAGGTGGATTGGACTGAGAGAGAATGACTGGCCCAAAATAACCCAGCTAGCTTTCATCGCTAAGGCAGAACCTGAAGTGACAGCCTCCGTTTTCTAGACCCTGTATGGGGCTTTCAAATGCTGTTGACCTCAAGTATCCATGAACATTAACCTGATCAATAACTAATGGTAGTTGCATGGGCATTCCACACACATTCCACATCACTCATTTATTACAGTATAACCTTAGATTTACTATAAAGTAATTCAGCTGTTGTGGCTGGGAGAGTTTTTGCACAGCTTTATCTTGTGTGGCTATTGTGCCTGTTCCTGGCCCAGGAAGTTCTGTCACAGTCAGTCTTCCCTTGTCACCTCCTGAGTGGATTGCTATAATTCTTTCTATGTGGGGCTGCCCTCGACAAGTATCAGTTGATGCAACATAGAGCAGTGCGGACAGTTATGTGTATCCCTAGAGTAGCATATACCATACCTTTGCTCTGCAAACTGCATTGGTTGTCAGTTTATTTCCAGGTCCAATTCAAAGTATGGGCTTTGACTTATGCATTATTTGAAAACCACCCAACGACATCTGCCTATCCCATTAGGTCTGGCAGAAGAGGTATGCTGCAGATGAGGTTTAGAGAATCAGCATATTGCCCCCAACAATTTAGGTCCTCATTTTACCTACCTCGGAAGGATGGAAGGCTGAGTCAACCTTGAGCCTGGTGAGATTCGAACTGTCAAATTGCAAGCAGCCGGCAGTCAGCAGAAGTAGCCTGCAGTACTGCACTCTAATCATTGCTCCACTGTGGCTCATGAGAAACAAAATAAATAAATAAATAGGACTAATCCTGGCTATGGCCTACCTCAAAGGAAGCTCTACACAAGCAAGACTTACCTGCGGAAGGTGGTCCAATGAGTACAGCAACAGCCTCAATGAGCAAGTTAAGCCCAATTGCGCTGGAGAATTTCTGTGATCCAACAATAGCCATGAGCACTTCAAACTGCAGAGCTCCCACCATGCCATAGGAAACACCAAAGAAAATGCAGAAGATGACAAGGGATGTGTAGGTGTTGGCCCTGGCACTAAAGATATCCGTCAGGCCATTGAAGAGCATTGCAAAACTGAACAAGTAGGTTACATGGGGTCGTATCCTCTTCATCCCGGCAAACATCCCACAGGATGGACGGGCAAAAATATCTACGAAGCCAATGATGGACAAAAGAAACGCTGCCTCTTTGTCAGGTATTCCTGTATCTTTGGCATAGTTGACTAATAGAATTGTGGGCACAAAGAGGCCCAGGACCATGATGAACTTGGCAATGGTGTAAATGATGAAACCCCGGATTTTGAAGATTGAAAAATTTAATAAGCTTTTCGTTTTCTTGGTCTTTTTCTTTTTGAGTTCCTTGGGTTTCTTAACATTGTCCAGGGTGCCGTCCACCTCTTCTGCTCTTCCTCCCATTGGCAGCATCTCTTTAGTTTCATAAGTGTCCGTGATTTTCTCCCTTGTGCCAACCGCCAAGGGTCTCATGAGGGCCCCACATGTGCAGCAGTTCAAGAGGAGACCCCCCATGATGAGGAATCCCCCTCGCCAGCCAAACTTTTCCAGCAGGACCTGACCCAGTGGAGAAAGCGCTGAGAGGAAGACCGGGCTCCCAGCTGCAGCTAGGCCATTGGCCAGTGGCCTGCGCTTGTCGAAGTAGGATCCTAACATGATCAAAGAAGGCTGGAAATTCAGAGCCATTCCTAAACCTGGAAAAAAAAATTGCAAGAGGAATAGTTGATGGAAAGACATCAGCTCTCAACTGATACAAAGGTTTCAAGGTCCGTATATTTGAAGGAAAGGTCCCCCTCCCCGCAAAAAATATGCTATTTAATTTAAGTTAATCAATGCAAGTTGTCCTTTAACACAAGGGATTTAAAAAAACTACAGGTAGTCCTCGACTGATAACCATAATTGAGCCCAAAAGTTTTGTTGCTAAGTGGGACATTTGTTAAGTAAATTTTGCATCATTTCATGACCTTTCTGGCCACCGTGGTTAACTGAATCACTGCAGTTGTTAAGTTACTAATATGGTTGTTAAGTGAATCTGTTCTAACTAACTAACCCGTTGACTTTGCTTGTCAGACGGTCGCAAAAGGGATCACGTGACCTCAGGACACTGCAACCGTCGTAAATATGAGTCAGTTGCCAAGCATCTGAATTTTGAGCATGTGACCAGGGGGATGCTGCAATGGTTGTAAGTGTGAAAATGGTCATATGTCGCTTTTTCAGTGCCATTGTAACTTCAGGCGGTCACTAAATGAACTGTTGCAAGTCAAGGACTACCTGCATATCCCAATGTATGTTGCTGAATTACAATTCTCAGAATCATTTCTCACTGATCATACAGAGTCTTCTGAGAACTGTATATTAGAAATATCTAGAGAACCATAAGTCCCCATGACTGCTTTCCACACTTATTTAAAGCAATTTCTCCTTACAATCAATAGCAGCATATATGACCGTGATGGCAAACCTATGGCACGTGTGTCACAGGTGGCACGTGTGTCACAGGTGGCACGTGGAGCCATATCTGTGGGCATGTGAGTGTTGCCTTAGCTCAGCTCCAGTGAGCATGTGCATGCCAGCCAGCTGATTTTTAGACCTTCTGGGCCCACCGGAAGTTGGGAAACAGGCCATTTCTGGCCTCTGAAGGGCCTCCGGAGGGTGGGGAAGGCCGTTTTCGCCCTCCCAAAGGCTCCAAGAAAGCCTCTGGAGCCTGGGGAGGGTGAAAAACGAGCCTACCAGGCCCACTGTACCATCACATGCCAAAAGCGGGGGGGGCATGGGGGGGGCGTGCACATGATGGGGGGGGGGCACATTGAATTATGGGAGTGGGCACGCACATGCGCGACACCCCCGTGCTCCCCCCGCCTTTGGCACACGACAGCAAAAAGGTTAGCCATCACTGATATATGAGCTTCTCTCAAACATCAAATCTGAAGTGTAAACATTAAAGCTACATTATATGGCATACATCATCCTGACAATATTCTAACAATGTCATGTTACCTATCATTTTCTAAAGTAGATTTGCACAATGGGGTTTCTTTCCACTTTGCAAATGCTCACCTGTCAGCACTCCAGCAGACAAATACAGTTCAATTATGTTGGTGGTGAAGGAGGCCAGGATCATTCCAGAGGAAGCCAGGATCCCTCCAACAAGCATCACAGGCCGGCACCCAAACTGGTTCACCATAATGCTGCTCAAAGGTCCTGCAGGGCATCCAAGAAATCAGAAAAGGGGCAAGACCAGAATAATATGAAAGGAATGCAAAACCACAGCCATTTCCTAATGCCAAACATCAGATGATCTTAAGCTGGCTTGGATTGGTTGAGTAGTGAAGGTACCTTTGCCATTACATGTTTTTGTGGAGATTGAGAACTTTAAGCTTTGCATATGTAGTGTTGGGAGGGAGGGGGAATGCCAGAACTGTGGAATAGATACAGATTTTTGCTTTCTTGATTAGCAATGATTGTGGGGAAGAGTTTTCCCCAATCAGGTGCTGCTAGATGGATTCTAAGTCCCAGCTGCCTGGGCATTGCAGACTGGCATTATTGCAGGCCACTCAGTTCAGGAAGAGTGGAAAACTGCAGGCTTTAAAATGCAGAATTATGCTAAAATATTGAAAAGTAAGATGTTTTGGAGAAGTGCAAAAGTGTCTAGTTTGTTGTAGATCTTCCTGGAATGTTAGATGGTATCTTATCCATCTTATTGGGTGTATCTAAAGTGTGATAAAGAATGTCAGTTTTGGTTGTAATGGGCTGCGTTCCAAGAGGAAAAATTGTTGGGAGCTGCATTGGGTGTGGGTACAGCCATCTAAACCAGTGGTTCGAACCGGTTCGCAAGAACCGGTAGTAAAAACGGTGGGAGCCTCCGCCCACTGCCCTGGATGTCATCAGAAGCGATCCCATTGCGAACCAGTAGTAAAGGTAAGTAGAACCCACCCCTGATCTAAACTGTTATGTCACATTCCTTTTCCCCCCACTCTATTTTGCTGACATAGTCTTCCCTTTCATTTTCTTTCTACTTATTCAGAAATCTATCTAGGGAAAGGACAATGTAATTGTCCTGTAGCTTTGACTGTAGCGTTCATAAAGATTTTTTAAAAATTAGGTAACACAAGCAATGAAGACAAAGGCTCCAGCTTTAACGTTTGGTGTGGAATAAGGTTTTCTCTGCTCAACTTTTCAAACTTGCAAGAAAGCCCTGCAGGGTAATTATTAAGAATATAACATGACCGATGATCTAAAGCATGGTTCGAGAAGTTATTTTTAGCTTGTGGGGTTAACTATTTGTGTGTGTGTGTGTGTGCACGTGCTGTGTAGAATGAATAGAATTGAACTTTTCAACTTTAAAAAAAGATGCATTTGCATATTGGTGGGTGTAGGGGTTTTCTTTCTTAACATTTCCCCCCCCCACACACACCCCAAATAAATATTGGGATTGAAGACTTTAAAAAAGCTCAATGGATACCGTAGGTCTCTGCCAAGCTTAAGGTAATGGTAGCCATGGCCTGTGAATAGGAATGAAGGAAGACAGATGGAAAGGGCTGACTTTTGCATAACCGTTCTCAATAAATAGCCAAATCTTTGATGACATTAGTGTGGCTGTATGCAGTTTTGCTCTAAAGATATGGGGATATTTTGTTGTCAAAATCCATGGAGGCCTAACCCTAACCCTAAATGGATTTACTTCCCAATGGGATTTTTCCATGTATTTTACCAGGAAATGTAGATAAGGCTGATTCGAAAAGTCAGTGCCCCCCTAAACATACCAATACACTCGGAATTCGTTGCCAATGTCCATTTTGCTGTCCGAATTCAAGGAGGCCTAACCCTAAGTGGATTTACCCCCATTTGGAATTCTTACCTGTTCCATACAGCATGGCCAGCATGATGGATGAGATCCAAGCTGTGTCACTGTATCCCACATGGAAATCATGCATCAGGTCCTTGAAATAAATGCTCACTGCCTTGGGAAAGCCATAAGAAAAGCCAGTGATGACGAAGCAGCCCAGTAATATGATCCAGCCCCAGCCACCATCAGGAGGCTTTGCTTTCTCAGGCAGTTGCCCTTGCTCCACATCATCTCTGCCCATGGCCCAAACGAGGAGGAGAAGCCTGAAAGCAAGTGGAGCACAGATTGTAGCAAAGACAGAACAAGAATTGTCACAGGGGCAGAAGGCAGAGACGGCCAATGGACCATCTGTTGCTTTGGACATCCGCCTCCTTTTTTGTCCATGTACATCATTTTCTTGCCCCTGAAATTTAGACCAGTATTTTCCAACCTGGTGCTCACCAGAGAGGTTAGATATAAGTATTATTAACTGATTATGAACTGATAGCTGATTAACAATAATATAGTTGTTTTTAAAAAAGCAGAGGACAGACAAAACATTTTCATTTTTAAATTTTGCTTTTTAAAACCAAATATTGGGAATGAAATGAATCAGCCTTTACAAATGTCTTCCTCGGGCAGTAAAATTCATACCCATTGTTGAAAATATATTGGTCGTCTCAGAGGTCCAGACTAAAAGTTCAATGCTGGCTAATCTTAATAATCATGGATGGCAAGGACCTACTGAGCTAATGATTGCCCCCAAACAGTGTTCTGACCTTATGCTTCCATGCCATAGCATGTGCAAATAGAAGTGACCTTACCCAGGGGTGGGCTGCTGGGGGTTCACAGGGGTTTGGGAGAACCTCTAGCTAAGATTCTGTGCAGTTCGGAGAACCCCCAAATCCCACTCCTGACTGGCCCCTCCCACCCCGCCCCTCCCAGGAGTCCCCACGAGGCCCATTTTGATGCAGGCAAGTGCAGGGTACACGAGGAGGCTTGGGGAGGGCAAAAAACAGGCCTACTGGAAGTTCGGGAAAGCCAGAAATGGGGCTGTTTCCGGCCTCTAGAGGGCCTTCGGATCCTGGGGAGGCCGTTTTCACTCTCCTGGAGGCTCAAGGAAAGCCTCCGGAGCCCAGGGAGGGCAAAAACGCCCGCCATGGTGCAGGAGGCTGACTAGGCCACGCCCACCATGGCCACGCCCACCCAGCAGCTGGGCAGAGAACCCCTTGCTAAAATTTTTGAAGCCCATCCCGACCTCACCTGTAAAATATATAAATGGAACAGAGCAACCACCAAGCTTTCTCTGCCACTATCACCAATGTAACAGCATGCCCAGTTAATGGGTTTGAAGGCAAAGGTTTTTTACCTTAATCCTTTTATTATTCATGCTCTGGTTATCAATATGAAGCTCCAAAATTCTCCAGCTGAGGGGCTTTGTATATACGTCATTGCCTCAAAACAAACCTCTTGGAGGTTTCAGAACCCTGTCTTTACTTAGGCATGAAGACTAACAAGTGGTTCAGTGGACTGTATGACTCACAGAATGTTGACTTTGTGTCAGGCTTCAAGCACTAAGTACAGAGGTTTAAAAGTGATTTTAGACTAGGGTGATTTTTCCATCTGATCGATCCACTTGGTTAATGAACTTGACTGTTTATTTTCTGCTGATCACTTGACTTACGAGAAAACCCCTACAAGAGCCACTTTAAATAATACTTTAAATAATCCAACGTGGTCAATGTATTCCATATCTTAGAAATAAGGAAACCACTAGGAAAATTAACATTCTGTATCTAATTATGTATCATCAACAAACCTTGCTGGTCACTATCAAGATTATTGTACAGGTAGTCCTTGACTTAACAACCATTTGATTAGTGATCGTTCAAAGTTACAATGGCACTGAAAAAAGTGATTTCTGTTTTTTACACTCATGATTGTTGCAACATCCCCATGGTCATGTGATCAAAATTTGGATGCTTGGCAACTGGCATGTATTTATGATGATTGCAGTGTCCCCGAGTCATGTTGTTGGAAGAAATGTCCATCTGGTTCAGTTCCAAGCCGGGAGAAAGACACTGGAAATGCTGGTTGGAAAGATGGTTTAATGATGAAGCAGAACCACATGGGTTTGAAGTCCTGGGCAGCTGATCACATGGAGTTGAGAGTGGAGGGTATTTATACCTTCTGTTGGGCTTTGCACTTGAACTTCCTGTTCCTGTGCAAGTACATGTATTCTATTGGCTGTTGTAGGGTTCATAGCTGGCTCTGTCTGAGCTCCCAGGTTTGGTTGAAGTTTGGACTTTGATGCAATGTCCCTAGGAGATTGTGCAATATAGTGAGCTCTGCTGCTGGTGGGTTAATCCTATTATGTCCTGGAGGGTCATGTCTTAACCCCATCATCCTGGAGCTGAAGGTCTTTTGTTTTGTAGATAGGATGGCCCAGTCTTTCTTAATGGGCAAAAAAATAATATCTGCTGGGGACTATTAAGAAAGGTGGGGGCTGCTTTCCAAGAGCATGTTTTTCCATTTCTCATCCAGGGAAATATAATATTCTGCCTTTTTAATATTTTTCAAAATATTTCATTCTTCTATGAGAGGGGGTCTTCCCTCAATGGCATCACCTTTTCTGACTTTCTGACAAGCAAAGCCAATGGGAAGCCAGATTCACTTAACAACCATGTTACTAACTTAACAACTGCAGTGATTCACTTAACAAGCATGACAAAAAAGGTCGTAAAATGGGGCAAAACTCTTGTTTAGCAACATAATTTTTTTACTCAATTGTGGCCATAAATCGGGAATTACCCATAGAACTAGAAGCCCTCAGTTACCTAATAGTTTTGCTGTTGGCTGTTGCTTTGCCAGCTTGCTTATTTTCTCTCTCTTTTTTTTTTCTTATTCTGTTTTTTTTTCCTGAACTGTCTAAATAAAGACCAACAGACTGAAAAAATACACATAAAAATCAAATTAGTAATGCTAGCCACAGTAAAGATAGAAACTTCACAGTGATAGCCTGTCTCTCATGGAAATTGGTCCTGAGAAATGTTCCTGGCTCCACTAATAGCTATTTTAAAAGGGGGGTTTTTTCCTTTTCACGTTTGATGTTCAGATCTTCAAACCTGATTCCCAGCCACTTCAAAGTTGCTGGGAAGTTGCTCCAATACTTATGGAGCTGACCCTGAAGACAAAACTCTATCATAGCATAGTCTTTTTTAAACAGGGCAGTAGCTGGAGAACAAATGCAGCCGATATTAGCCTCTGGAGTTTTTGTTTGTTTGTTTGCCTTCTGTTGTGGATGCCTGCAAAGGAGTGGTGGGTTTCAAAATTTTTTACTACCAGTTCTGTGGGTGTGGCTTGGTGGGCATGGCATGGCTTGATGGGCGTGGCAAGGGAAGGATAGTGTAAAATCTCTATTCCTACCCCACTCCAGGGGAAGGATTCTGCAAAATCCCCATTTCCTCCCAATCAGCTGGGACTCGGGAGGCAGAGAATAGATGGGGGCAGGGCCAGTCAGAGGTGGTATTTACCGGTTCTCAGAACTAATAAAAATTTCCACTACCCGTTCTCCAGAACTGATCAGAACCTGCTGAAACCCACCTCTGCTGCAAAGGATTTCTATTCATCTTGATATTTTATTTATCAAACTTATATAGCCACCAATCTCACAGCCTTGACTCTGGGTGAATATATATTAAACAAACAGTGAAAAACAAATCTAAAACAATAAAAACCAATTAAATATAAATACAGGTAATCCTCGACTTACAACCACAATTCAGCCCAAAATTTATGTTGCTAAGTGAAACATTTGTTAAATAAATTTTGCCCCTATTTTACGACCTATCTTGCCATAGTTGTCAAGTGAATCACTGCAGTTATTAACTTAGTAACAAGGTTGTTAAGCGAATCTGGCTTCCCCATTGACTTTGCTTGTCAGAAGGTCCCAAAAGCTGATCACATGACCCCAGGACATTGCAATGGTCATAAATATGAACTAGTTGCAAAGCATCAAAATTTTGATCACATGACCATGGGGATGCTGCGATGGTCGTAAGTATGAAAAATGATCATAAGTCACTTTTTTCAGTGCCATTGTAACTTTGAATGGTCACTAAATGAACTGTTGTAAGACTACCCGTATAAATAAGACCATGGGAGATTGCTCCATATACTGACGAAATGCAGGAATGTAACTGGATTGTTAGTCATGCATTTTCAAAAAACATCTTATTATATAAAATATCAACCCATTGGTCCATCTATTTCTCAATAATCTTTTTCAATATTTACTACCTGGGAATATGTCAGTGATGGGTTGCTCCCGGTTCTGTCCGGTTCTATAGAACCAGTAGTAAAACCGGTGGGAGGCTCCGCCCACCTGCCACGACGTCATCATGGGTGATCTGCGCATGCACAGAAGCGCATGATCGTTTTGCGAACTGGTAGTAAAAGTAAGTGGAACACACCCCTGGAATAGGTAGATCCTACTACTGAGCTACGTTCCTTCCCTATATCATCTTTCTAAACAAATACACACAAGCATACACATCTCCTTCTTTTTCAGGTTGTAAGTCATATATTTTCAATAACTTCAAATATTAGCACACAGAGGTTTTTTTCCACTGCTAAACCTGTTACTGTATAAAACAAACTAGAAGGCAAATCCTCAGAAAAAATTATTATCCCTGAATAAGTAGATGAAGAAGATTCTTAGTTTAGTGATATTAATTAATTCAGAACAACGGGATTGATTGATGGGCACATACTATAGCTATAGTTTTAGGGTGTGCATGAAGTTTACATGCCTTCTCTTTGCTGCTGGCTTGTGCATATATGTAGATAAAAGGTTAAATGGCCTAAAAATGAATTAAATTGTTTTCTTTTTCTTTTAAGTTTAATAAGGCAAGAACAACTAGATTCCAAAGCTTTTAGGGCAAATTAATTTGGTATTTATTGACACACCTTGAACAGTTTACTAAGATATCAGATCAGTACTTAGCCTTAAAGAAAACTAGTTGGACATCTCCCACTGCTCAGCAAGGTGAAATGGACTTGGTTATTGTGGCTGTGAGTGCACACAACTGGAAGACCTGAAAGATAAAGGATAGGATAGGATAGGATAGGATAGGATAGGATAGGATAGGATAGAATAGAATAGAATAGAATAGAATAGAATTTTTTATTGGCCAAGTGTGATTGGACACACAAGGAATTTGTCTTTGGTGCATATGTTTTCAGTGTACATAAAAGAAAAGA